AGATGAATTTATAAATATTTCCTAATTCGGTATGGTAGCGTAACTTCAGAATCTCATGTATGCTAAGTAAAATGACGAGCATCTTACCTTTTTTTCAGGAGTTTTGAGGACAATATTAGTAGTTGTTATGATTACGTAATTAAAATTCTATTTTGTACTATTTGCACAGAATAGATTAGATTTTTATTGGATTACATAACCGTTAAGATTTCCGGTCATTTTATCATAAGTTAGTTTAAAATCTATACATTGATTTTTTGCTTGTTCATATGTACATTTCTTATTAACAAGAAACCATTTTCTCTTTTGTTTATTATTTTCTATATATTGAAAAATCCAACTTTTTCTCATTTTATAATAAAAAATTATATTATACCCAGAAGAATTATTTTTTTGTAACTTGCGATTTAATTGGTTTTCTCTCGGTATAGTTTCTCGAAGATTACATTTGCAATTGTCAAGTCCATTATGGTTGATATGGTCTATCATTTTCCATTCTATATTAACCATTCTATAAAATGTTTTCGTTGTGTTTTTTATATTTGTAACAATATAATAAATATTTTCCTGTTTATGAGAATGCCATATGTAATTTTGAATCAAATTGAAATTGTCAAGATCGGTTAAAAATGTCAAATCTGAATTTGATGTTTTAACTTCAAGAAATAATGTCGCATCAATCTCTACGATTTGATAGTAATTAGATTTTAATCTCGGTTTTATGATTGGAATTTTGTTCCAACTAGATAAAACCTCAAAATTTTTAAATTTTTTTTGCCAGTTAGAAGACATTTATACAAATAAAAGTCTGTTCGGTATGTTGATATACAGAACAGAAAATTAAATAAATTTATTAAAAAAAAATAAAATATATTGATAAATAATGAATTAATGAATTAATGATTCTAAAAAAATTAAGCTTCAGAGCTAGAAGTGTCGATTGGAGATGTGTTGTCGATCCCGTTTAGAATAACAGGTTCAGGTGATTTTACAATATTTTCAGAAATTTCTTCAGAAGAAGGAAGAATTTTATGTTTTTTTCAATTGATGTTTCTAAATTTTTTATTTACGATTTCAATTATAGATAGAAGAAAGAGAGATAGAGTGTCGATTAATTTATATTTAGAAAGATCCTTCGGATCTACAAAAATCCAATCATCATGCTTATCAGGTTCAGTTCGAATTGGAATCTGATCATCAATATAGGTATAGTATACAGCGCAACGGCATAGACATTCTTTTCCATCCGGAAAAACTCTAAACCTTTCATTTATTCCAAAATAAAATAATTCTTTAATTGTTATTTTGGTTTCTTCCTTCATTTCACGTATCGCACATTCCTCATATGTTTCATTTCTTTATTTTTTTCCAGTTACCACATGATAATATCCAAAATAATCTTTATTAGAATTAATTCTTTTGCTGATGAGAATTTGCTTTTTTGAAGTTATTAGAACAATCAAAGAAAATTCTCGGCTATCGATCTCGTAAGATGTAATCATTTCTTTATATTTTTTTTTCAAATTTGATTGAATAACAAGTTGAGTTTCGATTGCATTTTTCGTTTCTTTAACAGGAATGCCATATTTTTCCACTAAGGTAAGATGAGATAAAGTCACAAGATATTTTTCTTCAAGATCGCAAGTGAGCGAATAATTGCTAAGAAGTAATCTGTATTCTGATTCCATTTTTTACAAAAAAAAGATGAACAAAAAATTTTCTGTTTGGTATATTTATACTGAACAGAATTAAAAAAAAATACTGATATACAAAAAAAAATAAAAATAATTAAAATATTTAAATAATAAATTCGTTGTCACTGTCGTCCATTTGCAATTCGTTGTCAGACCAAAAGATATTTTCGTTTTCTACTGTTCCAGATTGAGATGTAATATATTTTGCAGAATATTTTTTAATCACATCATCAAAAATTCCTTTGTTTTTAAGAGATTTTTGAGATTCTTCAGTTATTATTGTTATTGAAGATAATGTTGCGGATT